GAATTTGAGACTTTAGTCTTTGCAACTTTACAGATCTTCTTTATGCACCAAGAGCTTGTAACACTCCAAAGAGAAAGGAAAAATTGAAATCGCATCATATGACCCCTTTAAGTTAACAGTACCAAACATCAGATCGATCCCACTATTCTGAATAAGAACCAGTTCTTGGTTCCCGACCCTACGAAAATCTTGTTCAGAAATACATGTTTTCATGACGGAAAACGGCAGCAAATATACTGTAAATTATGGGATTCACCTTTACATCCTTCACATGTGAGCGCATTGTAGTGATACCCTGATGCTTTATCTCCACAGACCACACACAGTTCTTCGCCTTTGCTCCTTCCAGGGTGGGCTGTGTGTCTGGACCTTTTACACACAGTTGGGACAACAGGGCAAGACTCATCCAGCTCATTATCAAAGCCACCCTCCAACGGTCCTTTCCTCATCTCAAACACGGTGGATGGAGAGTACCACTCCTCCCCACTGTACTGTGGGTAGCAATTCTGACTGGAGTAGTATGATGGTGATGACATGGAGGGCTCCACCGAGGTGTACTGCATGCTGGGATAGCTGGTGAAGGGCATGATCTCCTGGTCCTGTAGCAAAGGACTGTTCTGCTCTGCCAGAATATCTGAGGAGAAGATGGCAGGAGTGAGCGGAGCTTGTCAGTTTACATATGTCATGGAGATGCAAAGCTCAAGTTCACCTTACTGTTAGCCCAGCATGGTGTGCTAATAGGTTTTATGCCAACACAACAATTAGTGAAACTACAACACGCTAAGGTACTGTTACCTTGTAGACATCATCAGGGCCATTAAGATCTCCACTACCTCATAAGTGAGTATTAAAATCCATCTAGGAACATAATCAGCCTCTGTCCAACTAGTAGCAGTAGACTGTATGAAATCTACACAATACAGAAGTCGAACACACCCAGAAATAAAAAAAGAAATCATTAACCAAAGGCGCTCTGGATTTACACAATACTACTGTCTGAGGAAGTTTTAGTAGATTTGACTGTTTGACTGTAATTTGACTGTTGATTGGGAGGTAGGTTTAAAGGCATTCACTTACTGTTTTTGGCTCTATTATTAAACAAGGCCAGAAACATACTTTTACGCAAGTACACAAATGCATACTTAAGTGCTTAGTCATTGTATTGATCTATACTCCGGGGGGCACTAGAGTTAATTTCAAATATCCATGAAATTCATCTATTTTTCTAAATGCATCTTATAGATCTTTCTGTAAATGACTCATCAATGCGTGTTTCTTTTTTTATTTTGAGCTCGTTATTTTTCATCAAAATGTCGTAACTCGATCTTCCAGTGAAACGACCAACTTCTCTGTGGTGAAGTATGATTAAGAGCTTGTTTTTACGTAAGCCCCGCCCCTTTCTTAAAATTTTGATCTTTAGTTCAGTTTAGTCCAGTTGCTAACAGTGACAACTTTTTCAGAACTGTGAAAGACTCATTGAAATCTCATTGGCAATTTAATAACTTTAAAGTAAAACAGTTTGTACTATATCTACACTACGTCTACACTAAATTTCATCAACAACACATACTATAATATGCCGACTGCTTCAGTATCATGAGAAGGTACTGACCTGAAGCCTTCTCCTTAACCATGGCCATTTCGGTGCGACCCAGTAAGGGTACAGATGATCATTAGCCGTATTGATTCCTAACCATCCAGCTGTATCTTCAACGCCTCAGCCTGTGTCTATGTATCTCTTTTCACAAAGTATTACTGTTCCTGAAAACCTTCATACTTCATACATAAATGCTAGTGTGAACAAAGGTTGCTATAGTTGCTCATTAACCTGACAGTCACAATTCCCTGTCTCATTACAGGAAGGCTTGATCTAGTTTTATAAATGTCATCTAGGACAAAACATGCTGACACGTGGTTGTAAAATTAAAGGTGACAGTTTCACTTTTTTGATTCTGTTAATAAGAGAAATTTGTGTCAGTTTGTTTCATAGTTTCTGACTCAAAGTTTTATATCATCACCCACCATAGCAAAGATAGCATTAGCATAACATAAGAAAGAAATGAATGTGATTTCCAATATACTCACCAAAAAAGTGTGAGCTCTCTGATAGGGGGAACGCATCACTGGGTGGGATCTGTAAAGGTCCCACCACATTGACGTCATGGCCCACCCACTCATTCATTCAGAAGCCTGTGTGTTGAGTCTTACTGCACAAAGATTCCTCAGTCCAGAATGGAAGCGAATGATAGGGATAATCCTGTTTCTTCAAGACAATAACAAATGGAGGAAGTGGTGTCTTTTACTTACAAATGGAGGCAGTTTTTATTGCAAATTAAGGCGCAATATAGTTAAAAACGTCCCTTAAATTGTTACACTTTGATTTAGGTGCTGCTTCTCAGGAAAAAAAAAAACATGTTAACAAGTGAACTTTTATGCTACAGCAATATGTGACCCTGGACCACCTGAATAAATAAGCTTTCCATTGATGTATGGTTTGTTAGGATAGGACAATATTTGGCCGAGATACAACTATTTGAAAATCTGGAATCTGAGGGTGTAAAAAAATCAAAATACTGAGAAAATCGCCTTTAAAGTTGTCCAACTGAAGTTCGTAGCAATGCATATTACTAATCAAAAATTAAGTTTTGATATATTTACGGTAGGAAATTGACAAAATATCTTCATGGAACATGATCTCTACTTAATATCCTAATGATTTTTGGCATAAAAGAAACATTTATAATTTTGACCCACAATGTTTTTTTTGGCTATTGCTACAAATATATCCCAGCGACATAAGACTGGTTTTGTGGTCCAGGGTCACATATCATTCCGATTTAATTTAGATTTCCTTGAGATTAGGAGGACAAGGTCCTGAAGTCATATCAGAAATCTAGAACATAGTATTCTAACAAATTATTGTTTTTTTCAACTTGAAATGCTAAAGATGATTGCAGTCACCTTTGCTCCAGTTCCAGTCAGCACACTGGAAAGTCTGGCACAAGATTTCATGATGTCTGCTTTTTCCATGTTTTTCAAACACCTAACGTCTTCTTATTCGAACTATGTTTTGATATTATGCCACAATATTTCATCCAGTAATCTCAGATGTATTTTTTTTCTCTACAGGCCAGGTTAGACCAAGCAAGCTCTTTAGTTTTAGGTTTCTGAAACCTAACAGGTATGGAGGGAGCTTGTCTACATCATTTTGTGCCAAAATTAAGTCTAATATTAGATAACTTTTCAAAAGTTCAACTACACCGGAACTTTAAATAAGGTTTTAATTACTTCAACTTTTAGCACAATGAAACTGGGTTTTAATTACTTTACTTCACAGCACTAATACTTTAAGAAACCATATACTGAACACAATGAACTCGTCCAGAAAGTAAAACATAATGCATGTAGACATGCTTTGTAATGTGTGTTGTAATGTGTATTAAAATACTCATGCACATATCATATAAATTAAGTGAAGCCTCATTAATGGTGTGTGTATATATAATATGAATCATTTTCACATTCATTTCATGTTTAATTAATTTTCACATTATGCATTCATGAAAGATATGTACTTTAAATATCAGTATTAGCATGCGTATGTTTATTTGAAACTTTTTCTATCAACAGTGCTTTTTTTTATGACGTTACCACTTTATGTGTAAATAATACAGAAGGAAACACTGGTTCTTTTAAGAAAAGTCACAGCGCTGTGATTTAGGATATGTGAACAAGGCCCCAGTGTCGCGAACTACTATGAAACCAGGCCTCAGTTGTTAGTGATATTGATCGATACATCAGTCACAACAACCAGTTTCCCTTATAAGACTTTTTTTAATATAATTAATCCAGCACATTTCCCATGCTAGTACACACGGAGGGTCCCCAGAACATAGTGCCATTTCAAATCAATAAGTCTCCAGACCTACCCTGATCACCAACAGTAATAATAGATGATTTATTTTAGTAACAAATCAGAAATATAATTTTCTTACCTATTACTCTAACAGACGCTGTGCACTCTTGGGCCGTGCCTTGATATTTGAAGCCATCAGTATTAGGAAATTGACATCAAGCAGAGTCCTTGCAGCAACTAGACAGTTCTCTGAGTGGATGGGGTCATTGGGAAACGGGACAGTGGTTATTAATTAAATTATCTATCTGTTTCGCTTCATGAGAACTAGCAGTTCCCTCCCTCTCACATCAGCTCCAACCTTTGGCTGACAGGCCTACAAATGCAGCATTACCTCCTTAGTAGCAAGAGATATCAGTTCAGCACACCCTTCTTCCCAACGCATTCCCCACAGATGCACACACACATACGCTAATACTCATGTAAACATAATTATTACTCAATGATGCTAGTCTCTCGTGTAATTTAAAGCATTTGGACAGAAATACACCAGCTCTGTTGTAGCTCATCACTGAAAACTTTGATATCTGATACTTGTCTTTGAATTATGAGTTTGATCTTTGTTAGTTTAGTTCAAGAATTACGCATTGCCTTTTGCTTACATTACATATTGTGGAATATTAGTGTGCTTAATGTGGAGCTGAAGAGAACAGTAGCCTATTGCCCAATAACCAATTACTGCAGCTTGGCTCATGTTGTTATAAACGGGGATGATGACACATTCTGCAACACATGGCAGGCTGATATTAGTGGCAGTTTATAGAATTAATATTTAAATTATCTGTTGCATAGAGTGCTACTTAAAGACGCTCCCAAAATATACTATGAAATGCATTTAAAAGATATGATTGTGTCATTTGTGTTCCTAACTTTGAGATTGTAAGAGTATGCCAGTCATTTTAGATCAAGGGTTTTCCATTTTTATTCAATAAAGGATTTTTAGTAATACTTCATAATTGTTATATTAATATATTAATATTCATCAAATTTAATAACAAAACTGTTGCATAACTGTTGGAATAGAACTGGCAATCGTAAAATGTTTTGCACTTTTTGTACTATGTAATATATTTATTTTTATTTATTTTTCATTCACTGAAATAAAACTTAAATAAAACGAAATATAAATATTTAGATGAAAAACCTAAAGAAAATTATTTAATTATAGAAATGTTGCCTTGGTGACTAACTGAATTTTTTGTTATTACTATTTGGAAATAATAAAAAAGTGAACTAAAACATAAACTAAAACTGACGTAACAACCTAAATAGTATAGTAGTAAAAAATGACTAACAATTAAACTAAATTTAAACTGAAATATATCAAAATAAAAGCTAATATATTAGCTTCAATATATTAAAAAACTATAATAGTAACTGATACTAATAATAACAACTCTGGTACCTATCAAGGGAGAGCACACTCCTTAATTCATTAATTTTTTTTTCTACTTGAATGCAAATTATTAATAACGGACTTTAAAAATGTAATGAAACTGAACATTGCATGTTTTATTTCTTTGTTTACGGAACCCCTGCCATTTCTTTCTATAAAACACTTCAGTAGTCTAGTGTTGAAGAAATTAATTCAATACACTATAAAAATGTTTTTGCAAAGTTAAAGATTATTGGGGTACTGTTTACAAGTAAATACTATTTCAGATTTCTGCTTCAGATTTTCATGTTCAATTCAATGTTGCTTGCTGTTTCTTTGTAATTATTTGTGAAATTTTACTTGCAATTTCTGAGTGAAAATTGTTTCAAACTAAATCCTACACCATTTTTTTCCAGTGTACAAATGCATAGATGATATAATGTGTTCTCTATGCATGCCATGACATTTACATGAGTCCCACCCCACTTGTGAGATGTAGTTTGACCAAAACGTGATGAAGACCAGCGTCTCGCTATAATTGCAAATGTATCTAAAAACAAGCTCTTAATCATTTACTGGCTGTTGCTCCATCCACAAAGGGCCCTTCTGAGTCAACATACAGCACTCTGAAATAAACAAAACCTTTGCCACAGGCTGGCGGCTGTTTGTGGAGCAGTCATTCTGAGTGTGGAGGGTGGGGGAGGTACGGATGGCCTTGTGAGAAGGACACGTTCATGGCTCCATTAAAAAACTATTATCAAACACTTCAGCTATTTTGTGAGTCACACGGCACTACAGTATGGGCGTTTTTAACAGGACATCCATCATTTACATATGAAATCATAGTGATAGTGTCCAAGTGTCCACTGCTTAATCCTTCTCTTTGTGGTTTGATAAACCCAAGCCAAGGCAAACTAAAAGGTCTGAAATCTAAAACATTCTGAGTAATTACAGATGAAACATTGCGTTTCAGAGAAGCATAGAGAGTAGCTGTCACCTGAAGCCCCTTTTGTTTGACATCTCTCAAATAAAAAGTGCTTACTGTTTTAGAACCACACATCAAATCATAAAAGCAAGATTTAGAGATAAGACCATCAAACAGTAGTACAAACTGGTGGGAGGCTTCATATCAGCATGTTAAACCTGATCTGTCAAGGACTGTGGCACAAAAAATGCCATTACACACCATAACAAGGTCCACAACCTTGAACTTTCCCAAGATTTAGCTATACCTAAAAAGACCTGTTAACACGTAACAGAGTCAACCGAGCAAATCAAAATATGGTGCACTGAATTCAATCATACATTGCTGAAGAGTTTATGCTTGATTATGTTGGCACTGAAATTGTACATTTTATGATTTCAATAACATTAAATGTTTTTCTGTAATGTTCTTTTCTAAACTGGATAAAATAACATTTGCATTAAGAGGATCATTACATTTTTTTTTTTTTATAAAACATGGCAACCCAACAGGGTCATTTAGTGTAAGTAAAACTGGTAAAAACTATTTTATTCCTTAAAATAAAGAAATATAAATATTTAGATGAAAGACTAATACTAAACAAAAAATGGAAATGTTGCCTTGTGTGACAACTAAACGAAATAAGTTCAAGTTACTAATTGGAAATAAAAATAAAATAAATCAATTAAAAATAAAACTGAACTAAAACCTGCACTAAAAAATAAATTAAGCTTAAATAGTAATATTAAATAAATAAATAAATAAAACTACTAAAAATGTCAAAAGCACAAAACAAATGACTAAACATGTAACTAAAATAAAAACACAAATGGAAAAATATAACATTAAAAGCTAATTCGAAATATTAATAAAAAACTAGTAGATAACGTGAGGGATGTTTACTCACACATGACAGAAACCAGGAGAGTTCTGTCAGCTCCAATAAAAGACAAAGTAAGCCAATTTAAGCATTCCAGCATAAACATGCATCTATTCTCTCTGAGAAAGAACATGTCGTGAGTCAGAAGTCTCGGTTACGTCTGCTTGGATTTCATTTGTTCCACACTCAACTCATTAATAGTGTAAGCTGCTATTTAAACAGAAGAGCAGCCGCTGCTGTAATCTAATGTATGTGCCAAAGAAAATCAATTATGCATGTTATCTGAGCTATATTAAAACTCTACTATGTCAGCAATATTTTTATCATGTATAAATGTTTAAGTAAAATATAAAATAAAAGATTTTTTTTTATTCTCCTCCAAATAAACATTTAAAGAGACATCAGTTACAGTGATGCAATGGTAAAGTGCACATTTCAAACAATCATCTTGACATCCATGTAAGCAATGAAATGTCTTTTTCAACAGGTATTGTGCAAAAAAAAAGAAAAAAAATCAGGCTCATTGTGGATTTTTTTTAATGATATCCATATTCAATTTTAAGTACTGAAATTATTAATTTCTACATATTCAACCAAATATAAACTCCATCCAAGTTTTTCCACCTACACATATGTAAACGATAAACTTAACTATGAGATATCAATGGTGGACATACTGCATTTTCAAAGGCATTCCACTAAATACACATCCCTTTTCAGACCAATATTAACTTTCATGATAAAACAATATTTTCTGAGATGTGTTAAAGTCAGCAAAGAGGTTTGTGGAGGCTGCACAACTGCATGCAAGAAAAGCCATGGAGGCATAGAAAATGTTTCGGACTCTTCAACCTGTTTATGCACTATACGCCTGCTTTCTTTGCATAGCTGACAACAATCAAAACATAAAATCATAAAATAAACAACTGGTGCACATTCTGCTGTCAGCCTTATAGTAGTACGGTAGATAGAAAAAGACAAATTATGACTTAAAAAATTGAGTCCAATTTATTCTGGCATGGTCTGTTTTACTGTAAGGCTTTTCAATGCATTGTTCTATTTGTTTGTTCTTTGTTGCTAGACTCAATAACAGTGTCCTCAAAAGTATTTGGACACTTGTGCCAGTCTTAAAAGTGTATGAATGTCATTGCATAGGCACAAAATATCAAATCAAGTGGAATTTATTTTTTAGAAATGTTTAGGAATCTAGCAGAAGCACATTTTTGAATAGTTAGGAATATTTGCAGTTTTGGAAAAAGGTCTAGAAACATTTGTTAGCAGATGCCACATGGTTTGATATTTATTAATGCAGTGATATTCTGTCAATATGAGGCAGTCGTGGCCTAATGGTTAGAGAGTCGGACTTGCAACTCAAAGGTGGTGGGTTCGAGTCTCGGTACTGGCAGGGATTGTAGGTGGGGGGAGTGAATGACCAGTGCTCTCTTCCACCTTCAATACCACGACTGAGGTGAGACCCTTGAGCAATAACCCCCAACTGCTCCCTGGGTGCCGCAGCAAAAATGGTGCATTCTGCTCTGGGTGTGTGTGTGTGTGTGTGTGTGTGTTCACTACTCATTGCTGTGTGTGTGTGCACCCTTGCTGTGGATGGGTTAAATGCAGAGCACAAATTCAGAGTATTGGGCACCATGCTTGGTTACAGTCACGTCACATCACAATTTTAAGGACCTTTGGGACCACTGTAAAATTTTTATTGTTTTAGAAAGTCTCTTATTATCACCAAGGCTGCATTTATTTGATCAAAAATACAGTAAAAACAATTATTTTGCAAAAAAAACAAACAAAAAAAACTATTTAAAGTAAAGTAAGTTGTCTATTTTATATATATTTTTAAAAACGTAATTTATTCCTATGATGGCAAAGCTGAATTTGAACTCCATTACTCCACTTTTCAGTGTCACATAATCCTTCAGAAATCCTGCTAATATTCTGATGGTGAATAAGAAAAACATTCTTTAATAAATAGAAATTTTGTAATAAATAGAAAGTTTAAAAGAACAGCATTTAATAAAACAGAAATCTTTTGTAGCATTATAAATGTCATTACTGTCACTTTTGACCTATTTAATGCATCCTTGCTGAATAAAATCATTAACTTCTTTAGAAATATTGTACTGACTCTGAACTTTTAAACAGGCAGTGTAGACTTCAGTTGAAACTTCCTTCATTATGTCTGCCTACAGCTGTCAAATTAACTATTCACAGATCATTCTCGTGTGACTGTTCCAGCTTCTACAGCAGGGTAAAATCATAAAGGAAGCCATCCAAAATATTTCTTCACAACTCAAATATACTGTTGTGTCAAATGTCAGGTGGAATGTTGTAGTCCCAGGGTGGCTTACTTAAATAAATACTGCTACACCTCAGCGCTCAGACTTGGGTGTTTGATGACCAAAATGTCATTGATACTCATTCTGATATTCCCCATTTTCATAATGATTTGATCCATGATCTTCATCTGCTTGCATGGTCACCCCTCTCTTCTTCTTCCAGCCTTGCTTGCGGCCTGCAGAGCTTTCTGTGGTTCCATAGGTCTTCTGCTTGGAGGCCAGGGCACTGTCGCAGTTGGGCTCGGTCTCATCAGCCAGCTCATCTTCCCCGATGATGCCACATTTCTCGTCGCTGGTGTTCTCAGGATCAGCCCAGTCCTGCTTCTCACCAGAGGCAAAGATGGCATAGAAGATCACGCCAGTGTAATGCACCATGGAAGCAATCACAAAGACATGCTGCCACTCCAGTCGAGTCTGTTGAGGACATAGAAAAGTAATGAGGATATGCAATATATATTTGTGTAAATCAAAAACGCACATTTAATTTGCTTATTTTTCATTCGTGGGTTAATTTAAGTGTCTTGTCCCAAAGCAAAAAAGGTGAGGGTGAACTTGTTAAGCTTTATAGTTTATGAATCACCACTTCTGGGGTTTGAATCTACAACCTTCTGGTTACTTTCCTATTTTTTTTATAATAACTTCACTGAACTGTACATACATAATTGAACATAGGCAGCTGTTACTTTAAAGAGATAGTTCTACTTGATATTACCCATAAAAATATTTTAGCTGGTGTAACCTTTTTTTTTTTAACATTATTGAATGTACTAAAATCAGATCATTTTTGGTTATCTGTGAAAACATTTTTACAGTTTATCACTATAGATCAGTGGTTCTCAACTTTTTTTTTTACTCAAAGAACTCTCATTGTTCAAAACATTGTTCAAAGGCTCCATGATATAGACTATTTCCAGCATTTCTGTCATAAATTATGACAACGCTGCTTGTTTTTTAGCAGAAAGAAGGAGTATTGATATATTACATTAAATAACCACGAATAACTTTTGTAATTTTGGATTTTTCAAGATCTTCAATTAAAAACAACAGTTATTGAGTAGGGAAAAATACACATTATTTTGATTATATTATCTTTATATTATTATCTTTATATATTGTGTTTTATAATAAATACATTTTAATTGACATCTTTTAGCATTTTAGAGTTTGATTTCAATATATATATAATATATAATAATTATTTATTATAATATATAGTAATATATAATACATAATAATTTATTATTTTAAATACTCTTTAGTCATCTTGAGGCCCCCTTAGAAGTGTGCTGAGGCCCCCTAGTTGAGCACCACTGCTATAGATATTCATGTCATATATTTGAATATTCAGGAACATTTACACACTAAAACATTCCCCTTATAATATAAGGAAAATGACTTCATCATGAAAGAAGGAAGCTATCTGCATGGGATCTCTTAGATTAAAGAAAAAATCCTTGTGCATATAGTATTATGTTTTTCTATGCACAAGAATAAGGTGATGAAGTTAAATACCTTGTGTATGGTAAGTGCTCCAACAATGAGGGGGCAAACCATGCCAGACAGGGTACCTACTCCATTAGAGATGCCCATAAGAATACTGGCATAGCGAGGAGCTATGTCCAGATGGTTTACATTGAATCCTGTGTTGCAGAAATACAGAAATACATTTCACATATTTAGATCTTTTCCTGTGTCATTTTAAAAACTAATATTCCAGGTTGTATCATCATGTACTTTCCACTTTGTTCTTTTACTACAACTGAGCAACCCATATTATTGAAGCTGGTGAGGTGGCATAAGTACAAAGAAAATGGTTAAAATCAAACAAAGCCAAATGGCAGAGGAATATGTTGACTGACACTCTGATGACTGACAGCTGTCTCATGTGTCACCTGATATCGCAAATCCACTGAAGCCCACTGCCAGAATGAGGAATGTGATGGCCACTGCACGCGTGTGTGAGAACCCGACCACCAGCAGCAGCGTGGCCTCCATGCCAAAACCTGTGGACGACGAGAGAAGTTAAATCAGTCATCAGCCATCTCGTTCAAAAACAACTTTTAAAACTTTTACAAATTCTTCTCTAATGCAATGTTTTGTGTAAACTGTTCCGTTTTGTTTTTTTACTTGTTAGCCTAATGTGTGTGTTTTCGATACCTTCACCTATCCTAATTTAATACACATATGCCTAAGCTGATGGCTGAACTCTCAACCAATGGCATGAGCTTGGGACTTTGCATACCTCCACAGTTCATGATTTTGCGCACGGTTGTAGTAGAGAGGATTTTCCGACTCCTCAGAAAGTCAGCCAGCTGGCCTCCTATTGGCACAATGATCGTCATCACCATGTGAGGCACCGCTGACAAAATGCCCACCTGAAACAGCCCGACATCATGTAGTTAGCCTATTTCTAGATTGAATTGTACTGAAAAGGATTAGTAGTTAAACTCGAAATAACATCACAGCCCACCTTGCTGATGGGGAACCCAAAGACCTCTTCAAAGTAAGCTGGCTGACTAATGAGCAGGAGGTAAAAGGTCCAGCTACGGCAGAAGTTTGCCACAATAATGGCATAGACAGGCATAGATGTAAAGAATTCACGCCAAGGAGTTTTAAATTTCTACAAAGAGAAAAAATAAGTTTTCACAAAGTAGTTTAGGATATTACATGACCATCTTAACATTAAATTGAATATATATAAAGTTTTATAGTTTATTGTACCAAATGCATGAAAGAAGAATTTGGACTACCTCAGTAGCGCTCATTAAATTGGCTCCTTCCCCAATAGAGGTCTCAATGTATGCCCTTTCTTCCTCACTGATGGTGGGATGGATTGCTGGACTGTTATAAGCCAGCAGAAGCCAGAAAATATACCATATTATGCCAAACACACCTGTATATGAGTACAGAACCACACATCACTGATCATTTTAATGTCTTTGGTTGCATCTTTGAAATGTCACTTTACACATGAACACTTTACAGTGTCCAATAAATGCAGTATATTTACTGATAAATTTACCAAATTGTCATCTTTTTGCCATCTATTCACAGTATGTCTTGGTATCACCCTGTATTCATATATGCATACATATATACTATATATATATAAGTTCTTTATTGGCATCTATGGTACCATGGTAACATCCATCAAACCTTTCCAGTGGACAAAAAGTTCTTTAGATTATTAAAATGTTTCAAAGTTACTGTTCACTGAAAAGTTCTTTAGGGAAACCTAAATGGTAGTGATTCACTTGGATTTAATATAAATGTAAATTATTCTTATTGATTAAAGTCTGGCAAACATTTCATAAAGTGCAAATCAGTTAATAAACATCCTCACTCAGATTTACAGTCTCATTTTTGGTGTATAAATCATTCTTTACCAATACATTTCAAAGGCCTATCCTAAACTCACCATATATATAGAAGACAGAGGGCCAGCCTACATACTGCACTAATATTCCAGCCAGTGGCATGGCTATCACAGCTCCTGCATAAGATCCTGTCAACCAGAACACACACACACACACACACACACACACACACACACACAGGTGTAATTAAGAAAGTTAAATTAAGAGGGAGAGCATTAATCAAACTGCAATATTCCCTTCAGCAGTTCAATCATTTGAAGCCATTATGGGGGTTGCCTCATAGCTGCCAGTGAAAAACTGGCATGATTGGTTTGGTTCAGCTTTGAGAGAGCAGAATTAGTTTTGTTCATTTTAATGTAGTAACATACATTAACCTTCAGATTCTCATATATTTGGGGGACTTTTTAAGGAATGCTTTATCCAAAAATGAAGATTTTGTCATTTACTCAAGTTGTCAAGCTATTAAGACTTTTTAGCAGTAAATGCCAATGCCAGGATTCAAGCCCTTCATCAAACTTGCAGAGTAACAAAGTAATCTGCTCAGTTACATGTGCAACTACTTCAGACCCCAGCGCAACATGTGCCTCTGCCTGAAAGACAGGCTGGCAGCTGCAGGAAATGGGATTTTAATGAAAAGGTGTCTTAATGTATATTTTATTACTCGATGCACTTGTAAACCTTCCTGTTTGGCGTAGGCAAGGAGTGAGGTTTTGAACATAGAAGAGGGTGCTGCTTCATTTGTGTCAACAGAAGAAAGCCTCTTTCACATACAGAAGGTGAAGCTGTGTGCAGACTATCTTCATTTAGTGATCATGTCAAGAGCTGTTTGAAGCACAGGTTGTCATGGCACCTGTTTGTTGTGAAAGATGGCTGTTTTAATGCATTTGAGGGGTAATGAGAATTGGAATATAAACCCACAGACGGCTGGTCAACTGGACTGTGAGAATGATTTTGGAGAATCTATGTCTTGAGTGTTTACTTCTACTGCAGACACAGGTACAGACACATTTGTATATAGAAGCATTAAATGTAGTATTTAAAGGAAAAGCAGAGAGTGATGAACATTAAGACAGTAAAACAGAAAACATTTTGACATTTTTCAGTCACATTTTCTACAGGTTACATTGTTACGTCCGTTTTTATGAGTGAGTCACTGAATCATTAATTCAAATGATTAATTAAAAACACTGATTCATTCGATAAATAAACAAGTGAACCAGCTGAATTCAGAACTGCACACTACTCTTACTATTCCTGCTATAGAAATATATAGTAAAATGGTAAGAGCTAGTATGCGGTTGCGAATTCAGCAAGAGATTCTACGCGAATAACTCATTCACTCAAACGATTTGTTCAAACACTGATTCATTCATACTCATAGACATAAAGGTTGCTTCTGCTTCAGATTTTATTTGAAGCTATTTTTGCTGGTAATGATAAATATATTGGTAAAGTAAATATATTAAGTGGTTTTTTTTTTTTGTAATGTCTGTTACATTATGTCTCCTGACCCTTTCAATAAAATATTCTGTCACAAAACTACTCACCACAGAACGAGGTAGTAGCCAGACGGCTTCTTTCCAAAGGAGGAGCCCATTTGCTCCACATTCCATGGCAGGCTGGATATGTGACTCCCTGAGAACATCATGCACGGTTAGTATCTTAGTATCTATGCTTTCTTTCTTTCTTTTTAATCAAAATGGGTAATTCTATAATGACCAATTAATACTTAAAGGAATAGTTCACCCATATAATGACGTCATGAATAATGAATCATGACTTAAATTTCAGCCTGTCCTCACTCAAAAGCTCTTGTATGGCTTTAAACGACTTAGTATGCAGTATATAGTTCACAACTACTTTTATGGTGCTTTTAGTAATTTTTGGAGGTTGAATATCAGCATTCACTTGGAAATGAAGACAGTGTAAACATTCTATTCTCCTTTTGCGTTCCAGAAAAGAAGAAAGTCATGGGCTCATGCGTATGAGTAAATATTGACAGAATTGTCAACAGATTACTGCTTTAAATACACTGATCAATAGCATACCATTTAAAATATATATATAAAATATAAAGTTATGTCACAAAAAGTAAATATTTTATGACGTGTTTGAAGATAAGGTTACTGGTGGCCACTCACCTCCACCAGTCCTTGTAAGATTCGCACAAACATGACACAGCCATAGTGGACCCTGGCAGCTGATGGAATAAACATGTTTAGCACTGACGTCAAGAAAATGGCTGCTCCGAAAACCCTGAGAAACAGTTAAGAGACATTCGGTAATGTTAGTTAATTCTGGTATCATGGATTCAATTAAAGTGAAGCAATATAAAAACAACGTGGCCTTAAATAACTTAGATTTACATAATTAAGGTTTTGTGGAAAAGCATGCAGTCAGGATAGCTAATTCCATAATGTTATTTTAATAACTGAATTGAATAACTCTTAACATCAGTCCTGGAATTCTGACATTAGTCATAAAATATTTATGTTTCTCCGTCATATAAAGTGATGAGTTAGACAATTTTTTGTAAGTTGAAAAAGACTGTAAAAAGAACTAAAAAAACATGATTTAACAGAGCCTTTAATATCACAAGACAAAATCAAAATGCATTAGAATTGCACTGAATAGTTTGAAGCACAAGTGCAACATCTTTTTCAATGAATATTAGATGTTAAAAAGATAAATAGACTAATATTCATAAAATAGAACTATATAGACAATAACAAAAATGTCAAAACACACAACAGAATTACTAAAACTTTAACAAAAATGACAATGAAAACAAAAAATACAAAAACTAATAATGAAATATGAATAAAAGTTAAAATAGTATCTCGATTATACTAAGATAACACTGTTCTAATGGTACAGCTTTTATTTAGCATTTACAGTGGCATGAGTTCAAATCCTGATCTGTCATATATGCATATGCAAATTTGATTGGATATTCAACTTGTTGTCCTTTATCTCCGTTTAATCCATCAATCTGCTTCCTTTTTTCCCCCAAAACAGTGTGTAAGTGACACTTGTAATATTCCAGTGGCTGGTGTTTCAGCGAGAGATCTGCTGCTGGATCTTTCATTATTAATTCTGTCAGCCACGTGTCCTCTTTTCCTGTGAGGCTTTTATTACAAGACTGCTATCGCCCCTCTAATCAACACGAGGCACAAATTTAACCCTCGCAGCCCTGACCACTGCACTCGTCTGGTCCCTTGGGTCTTCAAACACCTTTCAACAGTGAATGTGATATGAGAGCTATATTATGGAACATACATCTGCCTTCCAAACGTGGCATGGAGGCCCGTGCGTCAAGATGAGGCTCACCTGTTAGCTGCTAGCTTATTGGAGATGAAACCTCCAGGGATTTGAGTGACAATGTAGCCCCAGAAAAAAGAGCCGTGTATCAATCCCACTGTCTCTGGATCCCAATTAAACTGAGCTGGCTAAAGGAGACAACAATTAGAGGAGACCACGTTAGCTTTATATAATTTATAAAAGAAAAAAGAATACAAATACATTTTTGTAGACACATTTCTGTGCATAATATAAATGAATTATCACAAGACATACATAGTTAAATGACCTTGTGAATATATGTGTGTGTGAGTCGTGTTTTTCTCCTAATATCTCTTATGACAGGAAATTACAGGAAATTTTGGCCAACTACCAAAAAAGTCACTGATGAGAATTCAAGTCAGAAGAAAAGAAGATACTCGGCTCTTTGAACTTGAAAGCTGAAGAAGTCAAACGGACTATCTAGACCAGGGATTTATTTTTACTTTTTCATGCCAAGGACACCTGAAAATGATTTGCTAGGGACCCACTCTGTAAAAAAAATATTAAAGCTGTATAATTTCATGTATAAAGACCCATTTACTGTGTGGGGAAAATATTAAGCGTGATCAAATTAAGCAAAAACATTTTTTTATTTTTTTATATTTTCTAAGTTGACAGTTTGTTTACTTCATCTATCTGTCTGTCTATCTGTCTATCTATCTATCTATCTGGTTTATGGTTAAATAGACTATATATAAAATAAAAATAGACTATAAAATAGATAGACTATACATAAGTTTTTCCACAAAACTATATGCGTATTTTTGTTATATATTACTGAGTTGTCAATAGAAAAATGTAATAAAATAATAATTTAAATAATTTTATAAATAGAATAATTTCTAAATCTATTGTATGGTGTATGTTGTAAAATAAAATATAATGTATACATTTGCATATATACAGTCTTAAAGGGATAGTTCACCCAAAAATGAAAATTTTGTCATCATTTGCTCACCCTCATGACTACCATTAACTTCCATTCTTTGTATTTTTTTTTTCATACTATGGAAGTCAATGGCTACCAGCAACAGTTTGGTTACCAACATTCTTCAAAATATCTTTTGTGTGTGTGTGTGTTCAACAGAAGAAAGAAATTCACACAGGTTTGGGACAACATGAGGGTGAGTAAATGATGCCAACATTTTCACTTTTGGGTAGACTATCCCTTTACCTTTCGTATTTTGAAAACCCCTTGTTCTAACTTAAAATGAGATGTGTATGAGAATGGTAATTTGGTATTTGCAGTTTATATGTTCCTAGTTTCACCTGCATGACGGCAGTCCCATTGATGTAGACAGTGTTGTTGTTAACCATTTCTACAATGGCTACCCCGAGGTTGCAGCGGATGCCAAATGAGATGCAAAAGCCAAGTCCGCTGAGGACGGCAATGATGTAACGTTTGGGGAGGCCAAAGCAGCCACAATCGAAAATAGGTGGACTGCGATTAGGGGCCGCCACTGGACGACCATCTTCTGTCAGCTCAATGTTGTCCTCTTCAGCCACATTAGAGCCATCGATCTTCCTACCATAGGATAAGAAATGCTTTAGAAATGGCTTGTGGTGGACAAAAAGAAAAAAAATGAATTATATAACTCCATAACTGATGTATAAACCACAACTGGACCTCTTTTTGGATTGCAAATGTAGCTTTAGCTGATCTAGATTCAACTCAGTGCCATTTGAAAGTGATATACCCATATTTATGAGTGATGTACTGGGTGGACTCAGTTGGAAGGGGCCAGAAAGGGTTGCCAGAGTGTGGCGTTGAAAAGGTCACATTGCGTTTGGTGCTTCCTCCATCTCACTCGCACGCACCTGTTCCATTACTGAACCTGCATCTTTCCTCTCATCCTCCACCTCACAGGAATTACTTTCATCTGTCTATTTTGAAATGCGCACCTGAGTTCTTCCACATACAGAGGAAGGAGCTCAGTAAAAGCTGGATACTGGATGATTGTGAATGGAGGATCAAGAGGCATCATTTCAAGAGCCTGTTCCTGATCTCTGTGAAGCATTATTATTGCACATTTGAGGTGAAGTCCTGGTCTGGTACACTCTTGAAATCACACACATTTTTTTTTTCTATTGTGAACAATACATACACTTATTCAGATCAGAAAAACATTGTTTCCATACGTTGTTTCGTCTTTCCATATCTTTGGTTTTAAATGGATTCAAAGATCTCGAGATATATCTTGTCATTTTGATTTTAGTAACAGCATTAATAGAGACTGTATAGATTTTTTAAATTTCCATAAGATAAAAAAAAAAGTTAGTCAAATATAACCAATGACGTAGAGGTGGCGAGAACCGGCCAGAAAAAAATATGTTATCAACTATAACATCATAAAGCCATGTGCAAGGATTACCATCAACCATTACAGCTTTTACATTATAATGATCCAGCCAAGGCAATATATTAGTCACTTTTTACCACAAGAAAAGTAAAAATATATAAAAATGAAAGGTATTAGATGCCATTCTATCTGAGCATAGCATTGCATTCTCTCAAATAAAGCATGTGGTAACAGCCACTACACTTACTGTGTTTTCTATCATGAACACTTTCAATATATTTTCAAAAGCAGGTACTCTATTAGATATTGTTGTCATTGCTATTATATGAATATAAAATATATTTTTAATAATATTTGTTGCTTTTGGAAACGGCATTGCTCTTGAGCAAATATTATAATACTCTACTTTGTCTTAATTACATTATGGTGCATTTTATATCGGCCTTTCTTCACAAATCTAAATGAAATCATGTGCCATTTAAACACTCTGAAAAATTAAGCAATTTTTGAAGTAGGAATGAAAATAAATATTGCATGACTTGTTGTTAAATTATTTAGTGTGCACCCATATATTAATTTTCCCCCTCTATATTGTGTGTAGTAGTATTACAGAGACACAGGAAATTATTTACATGATCTCACATATAAAGCTGTCTAATGTGCAATAAATATGTGACATGTATTTGGCTCTAATGTAAAATCTTCAGGTTTTTACTCTCTTCAGATGTACTAGATATTAAATATATATGGAAACACCTAGAAAACTGGATTACATTTTTAAATTACTGGCCAAGATACAAAGTGAAAATATTAGGTTTGTGCCTGATAATGTAGTGATATTTCTAGATGCCCTTACAAGCATCTATCCTGTGGCAACATTTTGATATGTATATTTATATAAGAATGCATGTAAGAATTTAAGATTTATTTCTTACTTTCTTTGAGAAACAATTTGCATTGTATAGAAATACTCTGAAAACAGTTTTTCAAACATTAAAACATAATATAATTTTTTATACAATTATACCAACATCCCTCATCACAAATCTTTGAAAACATAATATAACTCTGCATAGTTCTATATTTTATATGGAATACTATTTCTCCCAAAAATCAGCTGCTCAATATATTTTAAGTTGATTTCTCAATCCTCAATACCTTCCCATAATTGAATTTTATTTAATACCAAAAGCATGATGCAGTACATATATGCAAGCAATCTCCTCACATCTTCCTCTCAGTGCTTAGACTCCAATCCAACTGCCTTCACACTTACTTCTGCAGGTTCCCCAGAGAGTCGCCCACATTGTTCTTCAACTCCTCCTTCCCTGGTTTGAGCTTCTCCTTTAGACCCGCAAACCCCCCCAGTGGCATTTCTCCTTCCCTTGTTCTTCTGTCCCTCAAACACTTGTCTTCTCACTCTTCTGCTCTTGCAGAAAAAAAAAGAGCAGGATATCCACTAGGCGCTGGTGTGCATCCTCTGAGATGGTCTAGGTGTGCTGGAGGGGAGGAGGAGAGATGCTGAGCCAGAGACGGAACAGAGAGAAAGAAGAGGAGGGACTTTGGTTTGGACGGTCTGGGTACAATACTTCATGCGGTTTGGGCTGAGAACATCCAGAAACAAGGCACAAGGAGAAAATGGGGTGAATCCGGATGTCTTCGGTTCAGTGTATCGGCATTGCGAAAGTTATGCTGGCATACATCAATAATGGAAACTCCGGCGTTCTCCTCTGCTCCCTCACAGACAGTGACAGAAGGTGCCAAACACCTGCCTCTTCTCCAACCCGTCTTGCCCATACGAAAGCAGGGCAAAAAGAGTGACTAGCAGAGCTCATTAAATATTGACAGCGAAGTCAAGGATCGCAGGCTCGAGGTTGTATGATATGAGCAGGTGTAACAAGACACTGCATCGTCCAGTCCCAGTCTAACCCTTATCCCGAGAAACAGTTCCTGGGGTTCATAGATCAAACGTATTAACGTCAACAACCAGAAACTGACATAAAGGTTCAAACTGTGAGGGCCGTTGCACTGTAGCAGATGCACAAAAGTCACACTTGCAATTTAATTCTATTGCTTTTGTAAGTGAAGGGCTGCACCTTTTTCCCGTGAAAACCTCTTTTACGCAATAATCATCAAAAATGCAGTGTGCTTTAAAAATTCAGATATTGAGGTCTAAAAAATTCATTGGTAGTCTGCACAGCTCTCAGGCTGTGTTTCACTGATGCCTGATGTAGAAGCCTCAATAGTATGTTTGAATAAAATCCTCACTAAAGGTCTGCCATTCAGTGCAAAGATCCTGAATAACTGAGAGAAACAAGGACTTAGTATTTTTTCCACAATCAAAATGAACATATGCATTTGGCATAAAATGGTCTTTAAAATGACAATAATATCGCTTATCGCAATTATTTCTGGGGCAATATATCGCACAAAAAGTTGTTATCGTGACAGGCCTAGCGTTCATACAAATTAAGATTCTTTACCTACAAAATGTGAAGCAAAATAATAATAATAATACTAATAATAATAAAAAATAACTGCACATAAAAATCTTCAATGTTGAAGTGTTGGTCTCTGCTGGAATGAAGAACTCTTCACTGTGGGGTTGGTTTAACACCTGCAATTTTAATGTAGGGTAGAGTGGGGGAAAACACCCCCCCTACTGTTAATCCCAACATAACCACTAGATAAAGTCAGGATAAAAATGTTGTTGTAACAAGAGTGATGTAGAAGTATTCACCATGAAGCTTACACTGGTGATGTACCTGAGAGAAAACGGATTTCACAGTAAATGATCTCATTTTCAGCAGTAGAAAAAGGTGTTATAAAGCTTGTTGTTTTGTGGAATATCAGTTATATATGATATGAGAATAGTGAGGCCTGTATAGGGAGTACATGTTGGTACGTCTATGGTAGAAAAATATAATTATATTTTCAGAATGACATTTTTTTTCAAAGCCGTCTGTGGGGAGGCATGGCTTAATTTCTCTGTCCTGAACATCCTTTGTTTTTCCATCAAATGTATTCTAACTAGTTGGATTAATATTTGAAAATGAATATCAAATATTTGGACTTTATATTTAAAAATTACCTGAATTTAGCATCAGGTAGCTAGTTAGCTTGCCAGATAGCATCAGCTAAGAATATTTTTCAAATAGGCTATTATAATTTTGAAATTCATAATTATTGATTATATTCTTTTTAATTTTAATCTAAACCTGCCTGTACTCTGATTTTGCTGTAAATGTATAAATCAAATTGCTTTGTCAGACTGGGGGCATTTTACCCCTCCTTACGCCCCCTTGGTACAAATTTAATTTTTGTTAAAACATCTAATAGCATGAAACCTTTGGACATATTTCATACTTGGTTTATAATTTATGTAATTGTCACTAAAACCATGATAACTATTCTGGACACATTTAACTTTTGTTTCACAGAAAAAAATTACACAGTCCTTAAGAGGGGCGTTTCCCCTCCACTCTACCCTACAGTACAGACTTATAGTGAAAAATAACTGTCCACTTATACTGCACATACTTGTTTTCAAGAAACCATTCGTTCAAATTCGGTGATTTTTTTTTCTTTAACACATACTGACCTGAACACACTGTCCTGAAGATCTTAACAGGTTTTGTTATTTAGAACAAAACTGCACATCTGCTTTCATTCTTAAATATGTATCTATTAATGATAAAAGGTTGTCTATTACATATGCCAACGTTTCCTATTTTTCAAGAATTTAAGCCTTGTAATTAATGTTTTTTTTTTTAATCCAATACACAACGTGTTTCGCGTTTGCTGATTCTTTCATTAGCAAAGATGTTTTCAAGTCATTTTTTGAATCTGTTGATTTATGTATTTACGAAAAGGTGCCACACTAACCCATAAACTTTTACTAAAGTTATATATTATATTTGAATAGTATAGTGTATCTTAAAAGCATACTCTGGTCCAAGGCACTTATGTTTTTAACGAATAGAGTGACATCTAGTGGATCACAGGAGCCAATGTGCAGCTGCCAAAACAATTTTTGCTCATTTGATGTTTTTTTTTTTTTTAATAACTGCTTAGTTGTAGAACTATGCCCTTGATCTTTTATAAAGAAACAGAAACGATAGGCTATCTCTTTTAAATATGCATTTGCACCACATCAAATCTTTGCTGCCCAGCTTGTCTTCCTCTGTGCTAATGCATCATCCAGGTCAAATTAATGGACTTTTTGAAGCAGTGGTCACAAAGTATTCATCTGCATTATTGAATATGACCCTTGTTTTCTGTTTGCGATATCTTTCTCGTGAGTTTGCATTTCCTGTGTCTCAGTTTCCACAATTTATGCTTATGGTTGTATGATTCTCTATGATTCTATGAAGGCCTTGAGGGGCGCGATCTCGCTCTTGCTCTGGTCGATGCGTGCGGGGGCGCGTTCTTCCGGGAGAAATGCCCATATAAGGAGTTCCACCCTCGTTTACGTCACTAAGTGCCACGGTCGAAAAAAAAACTGTACGAACCCGGTTCATTTGGAATAATGCAAATATAACGACTGCCAATAAATCTTTATTTTTAAGGAATTGGTTTAACAGGGATATTAATCATCTTATGAATATGTTTGATAATTATGGGAATCTTTTAACTTATGAACATGATAATAAAGTGATGATTTATTCACACTTTCCAAAGTAATCACACTTTATGGTGTTATGGTCAAATATTCTTATAATTACTTAAAGCGTCTGCTAAATGTAAATGTAAAATTACACAATAACTACACTATTGTTCTACAGTTTGGGACGGTAAGATTTTTTTTAATGCTTTGGAAAAAGGTCTTATGCTCAACAAGGCTGCTTTTATTTCATAAAAATACAGAAAAACAGTAATGAAATATTATTACAATTTAAAGTAATTATTTTCAATTTTGGGACATTTTAAATGTAATTCATTCCTGTGATGGTCATGGCAGGCTGTTTAAAGCAGCCAATACTCCAGTCTTCAGTGTCACAAGATTCCGCAGAAATCTTTTTAACATGCTAAATTGGTACTCAAAAACATTTCCTATTATTAATAATGTAGAAAGCAGCTATGTAATGTAGATAAATACAAGAATTATTAAAAAAAAAAAAAAAACACCTTACTGACCCCAAACTTTCAAACAGTAGTGTTTAATAATAACAATAGTTCCTATTACTTGTTTCGCTTCTGTTTCAGTTTTTATAACCATTTCTTACTATGTGTAAGTAAGTTGTTGTTTTTTAGCATGTGTGTTTGCCAATGTTATTTTTTAGGATTACTGATAAACTACTGTCATCTGATTTGTATTATTTGTATTTGTTATTTATTTTAATTTTAGTTAAATTATGTCTGAATTTATGATGTCTGTATAGGTCTTTTTAAGTTTTTAGTTTTATTTAATTTTAGTTATTTTAATACTTCAACAAACTAAATGGAAATGAAATAATATATATATATATTAAATTTATAAATGTGTATGTATATATATGTGTGTGTGGTTGTACATACACATATGTATTTTTTTTTTTTGGTGTTTGGCTTAGTGTTATGTTAGAATCATTATTATACTC